TAATTAAAAAATATCTATGCGCTTTGTATACATCATCATCACGCAATGTTCGAAATAAGGTGGTTAAAAAAATAAATAAAAAAAGGGTTTGGTAGCTAACAGTAAAAAATACCTACCTATTCCATTGTGCGAGACCAACACGACCTACGACACACTCGACTTAATTGTGCAAGTGCTAATATTATGTTGTTGTTTTTTTTTTGTAGCCATTTACTGTTAGGGGAAACGTTAATTTAGATTTTTAGCATAACGTTAACTTTATGAGCCATAAAAAAATGTACAAGTACATGATATTATAATGTACCTACGTTGGTTTTTGGATATGGAACAAAATGGCAATGAAGAAAGGGCATATTCTTAATTATTCAAATGTATATATATCTTAATTATTAACACACGTTAAACATAGTCAAAGTTCTCATCATTCAAACAATTTATAATGTATACATACTTGCGTGCATTGTACAATTCTTGCCATTGGAAATACAAAAGTACTATTTTGGTGTATTTGGTGTCAAACTAATGGCCTTAATTTAAACCAATCAAAATATACATAATTTACTTCATTCCCCGTTGCCGGCGTAGAGATAAAGTGCCTTCTTATTATCAAATTAATGGTTTGTTGTTATCATTAAATAACAACTGTGATAACGCAGTAGTTTGGAATTTTCTTGTAATTTTAATAAAGGCGTCTTTAAGATGGCGAATTTATGGATTTTTGGAAAACTGTAGATTGCATATTATTGTGTATAATAAACTCTAGGTATTTATTCGCAAAAGCACGGTTAGGTAGTGTAATATTATAATGTATATTTTACAAAACACAAAGCGCACCCCCGGCCGGCAAGGGTGTTACCACAACCGCGGTCGTGGTAATAATATATTTCTCTGTACCGTATACACATTATACATGTATATAATATATCCTAACCGCGGTTGGTCCGAACGAGGTGGGCATCCGGTTTGTTGTATAGGAGAGACTATATTATTATAATATATAATATTATTGTTACATAATACACGGTAGGCCTACCTATGTATACTTAGCTGCTAGCTAGCCCGTTGACTTATAAGTTTCTTCCAAGCTCTTTGTGTGTATGTGTGTACATCTCTCGAGGGGTTCATCGGTCTGTTTATTGCGACTTCACGAACGTCGCAGTCGGGACAATGCCGCGAAACGGCTCCACTCATTTGAATAAATACGGAATTGTACACACACATACATTCATACATTCATATTATTATACACAAAGAGCAATGTGTGTGTGTGTGTGTGTGTACGTAATATAAGAAGAATAAGACGATATCCGACGGAGGAGAAAAGCGCTCTCCGCAACACAACGGTAATGACGGCGGGCGCACTGACCGGCGGGGCCCGCCGATTGCTTTAGCCGTGTTGTAATAATGTGCATATGTGTGTGTGTGTGCATGTGTGTTGACGAGAGAAGGATTTGCTTGTTTACCGTCTAGACACCTGTATAACAAGTACAAGACCAGACAGACGTTGGTGCCCCGACGTCCACAAGACGGTCCCCAGACTCCCGGGGCCACCGCTTTCTTATGTGTGTACCTTCGAGTAGCAAAACTCTATAAACGTACAAATCGTTAGTGTTAATCGTCGGTTTTCATCATGTTTTCAAAGTGACCACATAATAATACCTTTGCAGCAAATTAGTAATAAACAAAAATTGATAAAGAGCACTGTTATCAGTGATAAGGAGGGGAAAAAGATAAAAACTTTCCCTTCTTATCACTGATAAGGAAGCACTGATAACAGTCCTCTTATAAATTTTTGTTTTATTGTTTATTATTAAATTGCTGCAAAGGTATTAAGAGGCCACCTTAAAATATATATATATTGAATTTTGACCTATTTCAGCAGATATTATACGCAATTATACTACAATGGTATTACAAGAGTAGGTCCGACCTGTCATGGAATCATACCATGTGTGTGTGTGTGTAAATTTTATTTGTCCTTTTCTAGCATTAGTTGAATAGTTGGAAAAAAAAACCAATTAAACTTCTTAGAAAAGCCCAACTTGAATCCGGCGGTTTTGGCTTCTAAGCGGAGCTATGATGTGCCCGTGTACTCTGTAAGATATTTTTCTATATGTTACAGAGATACATTGTTCTTCTATATGTTACATTGTTTTCATATTATCTATTACCTCAATTTATCTCTAATCTCTAAGCCATTATCTCTATTTTTATCCCTAATCCTTAATCTCTTTTCTATTATCTATTTATTTTCTAATCTCTTATCTTTTATCTCTAATGTAGTATCCCTAATATCTTATCTCCATTATGGCCTTTACAATAATATCAGCTATTGACCACCCCCTTTACCCTCGCCCCACCCCGTTTATCTATCCCCACTCTGCTTGCTTTTTTTTTGTCAGCCCAATATTATTATTTTTTAGATTAGTTCTAAACCCTAAATCTAGTGACACAACGATATAGTTACTGTGAAACGAAGTAGGTATATAACTTGGACAGCAATTTATTGTTGATAATTTGATAGAATACAATTGATTGCAATTGATAGAACGGATTTTAGAAAAATCCAATTTTTTCATATTTCTCAAGGAGCAGATTTTGTCCAGTTCCGGCATGTAAGACACCATATGAGACCGTGTAAGACCATATTATTATGTAGGTTGGCATGCAGTTAAAATATTGTATACTATTATAATGAACGGTGTTTGTTTTTGTCAACGACCGTTGGAAGGACGTGAACGGATGTTGTCGCCTACTTTTTGGTTTTTGTTTTTTGACACACACAAAAGTCAATACAATCAATATTGGGACAGTCCTGAACCCAAGTCTTTGGTGAAAGTTACAAGTTACACAAATAATAGAAGTAATAGCATTTTGTGGGGACCAAGCACAATACATAAAATTTGTCTTAAAGTTTTAAACAATTGATTTTCGACTTATAGACACATCTTAGAAAATTATTGACTTGTACAAAATAGTAAGTGAGTGTAATATACTAGAAAAAAAGTGTAACAATCACCAAGGTTGCACGATTAAAGGATTATAGGATGACTTATATCTCTAATAGACTGGTTCGTTTGAATTTAGTAGACTAATCACGCGGTTGACGGTTCATTATTTGAACTTTAAGGGAACTCTAAGCGTGTTTAAATATATTGCTAAAACTCTGCAAATCCAACAACACAATAATTTTAACAACGTTTAACGAATGATGTCCACATAAAGAGTGAAAACTAGGAGTTGTATAGGCAATACAAATACAGTTTGAAGTATTTTGCTGCTAAATAAAAAACGTGTTGGCAATATATATATATAATAATATACACTTGTATAAAGTTATTAAAATTAGTGTTGATAGAGAAATATTTTCAATAAACTTTCAATTGATTTGTTTTTTTTATATATATAAAATATAGGCAATAGTGTAAGAAGCAACCTAAAATTAAATCAAGTCCAATTAAAAAGTGTTTCGTTTGATACTCGAATTAACGGCTTAACCAATAGGCTTAAAAAAATTATGAAATTACAAAAATGAATTTTAGTAACCTACTATATAATAATTACAAAACAAAATACAAATTTTTGTTTTAAGTTTTTTTCTAATGCCTAAAAATTTGTTCAAGTCGGATAGCTATGTTCTTTTCTAGCTTGTTATAATCAGACACTTTTTCATTTTAATGAAATGTTCATTTTGCTCATTTTTTCAAGTAGGGTTTTGTTGTTGTTATTTTTATGTAAGTGTTTGTTTTGAAAAAAGTTTGAAAGAATTTAAGGAGATTGCGTGACTTACTTTTTTTTCTCTTCTGTCCTCCGTCGGTTACGTTTGTCATGAAACCCAACTTTTTCTTAATTATTCTGGTTCCACTATATTTATTTCTTCAATTATTTTAGACGCTGGCTTCCTTATTTAAATACAATATGTAAATATTAAAAATGTATTGTATTATTTCGTATCATATAGTGGTGTGCTATATTGTGTCATCACAAAAGCAATTTAATAATAAAAAAAAAACCATAACTGACTACTGTCAAAGTGTAATTTTTTCCTATTTTTTTGGGGGTTTTTCTTAATAAAAAAAATGTTCGACTACAGATTTTCGAGGAAATTGTATCATATGTAATAGACCCATTGTACCATCTACGTTTGGTCGAATTTCCATATAAATTTCTAATTTGGGTTTCATCAAAAAGAGGAGAACTTAAACCCCACCCCCCCCCTACATATCAAAATACACCCTCCATACTGACCTGAAAATTAAAACTGAAACAAGATTAACAATTATTACATATTATAAAAGATTCCACACTCGACTAGCATCTCACTCCAAAAAAGGCCTTTTGACAAACAGAGTTATTGCTGGTACTTAACTTTGGAAAAAAAAAAAATAACCACTTAAAGCGTTATACTTGGAATAATGACAAAAAACGCACCGTCTTGCCCTCCGGAATATTGTTGTCTTTTAATTTTATAATGGGTGCTTTTACTCTAAAACCAAAATTAAGCGAGTTATTTTCAGTCTGCTTAAACGTGTAGAGATGAAAAAACATTTTTAAATCGCTTTCAAGGACGCTGTGATAGTCTAAATAATAAATTAACTACCAAGATAGAGTTTGATAGTTATTGAACTAATAATAATTACACATCACAGTTTAACATTTAAATTGAGATTCTAGGTCTAATCTCTAAACCTTACCCAACCTAACCTAACCTAACCCCAACCTAACCAACCTAACCTAACCGTACCTTGCACGCGATGGCCTTTATTAATAAGGAAAGGCCCTTCCTAACCGCCCCCGACCCGACCCGACCTAGTGCAGTATGCCCGTAGGGAGCGGCCTTTGGCCCGCCGCGCCGGCCTTTGTGTGTTGTGTGCGGGACGGAAATCGCGTGCGACATGAATCGCGGGCACTACTAGTTTATAGTTACTACTACTACTACACTACTACTAGCGGCACGGACGGCCAGTTGTAAATCGACGGTTCGCACGTTCCACGGTTATTACAGTGTCGGCGGCCGCGGTGCATTTCACATATGGCGGGAACGGAACGCGGTGCTGCTGCCCATGCACATTCACCTCGGTACCTGCTGCTGCTGCTGCTCGTGGAGAGAGAGACGCCGCCGCCGACTCTGTGCACAGTCCGAAATTGAACGGTGTCCGCACAGTCAACGTTCATTCAAACTGACAACATTTTGTTCTACCGTGTGTGTGTGTGTGTGTTCGGGTTAAAAAACATTTAAAAAAAAAATTAATTAAAATTAAAAAAAAAAAAACCAAACGTTTCTGAAATTTAAAAATTTTTTTTTTTTTTTAATTTAAATCGCGCTCTTACGGTTTCCCAGGACGGCAACGTTTCTTCTTATAATATAGTTTGTAAAAATCTGTGCTCGAATTGAAACAAAATAAGCTAAAGAAATTTGAAAAAAAAAAAACACAACACAACAACATATATCCGAATAAAAATAATTTACATTATTTTTTTTTTCAACTCATTTTAACCGATTGATAGTTTTTATGCTTTTTATTAAATTTGAACTTTTCAAAGGTATGCACCATTTATATTTTTTTTTTTAACAACTGTACTTATTTTTATAACAAAAACGCGCGCGACTACACGTTCAACCCTTAACTCGGCAACGGTCGATTTTTAAATAAGAAAAAGTAGTAGTAGTACATATTTTTAGGTTGGCTATGCAAAGTCATATATATACTAAGGGTTAATAAACGAACGGCCGACTATCAAAAAAGGAATAAATTAGTTGTTAGATTTTTTTTTGTTCACAAAATATTTGTTAAAACTGATTTCTTGACTGCGTTTGAATATTTTTTTTTCCTAGCTATAAAAATTTCCAAGTTTTGTACGGTTTTTTTTTTTATAAAACGTTTAAGGGTTTTTTTTTGTTAAGAATACACAGCCGCTATTATTAAAAACCAAAATAAGAAAATAAAATATATTTTTTCTCGCAGACGTTATTGAATAAAGTAGAATAATTATTGAAAATATGAATTCAATGACAAAAAACATCATTCGATTATTATCATTATATAATTAAAAAAAAAAAAAAGGCGCCATTACATCTTTATGATTCGAATGTATTTTATTTATTATTTATTTGCATTTTTCACTAATAGCAATTTTAGGATTTTTCACAAAGAACATAATATATTAAAACAATAAAAAAAATACAACTAATGCACTAGGATTATTATTCAGATTTGAGGTTTGATCGTTCATTTTTTTTTTCTAATCTTAATACCATTATGGGATGTACCTGTACAGTCAACGGATAATATTATTATTAGTATCCGTCGTTTAAATTTCCAGATAATAATTACTTATTTGTTTTGGGGATTTTTCAAAAAGATGAAATAGTAGATGTATGCTTAATGTGCGGGTAGGATTATTCTAAAAAATGATTTGTCGTTTGCAAAAACAAAACCATCTAGTTTCGATTGGACTAACTCAGTACTAGCTGTTGTATACAACCCAATCCAAAAGAGTAAATTCAAACTATTGTGTGAGCAGCTTATGATGTACAGTGTATGATAATTATTGTCTTGTACTGGCCAAACGTCTTACAGGTGTGTGGTGTGTGTGTGTGTGTGTGTGTGTGTGTGTTGAGAGGATTTTGGTCGCCGTTGGTCAGGTTCCAAGTGGAACACGGTTAGGATCCTGCCCTACTGGGTCTCAGCTGTGTACCGTACTCGGTGGTTCAAGGCCACATTAAACGCACATTTCCCGTGTACATCCGAATGTACACATATATAGTCTTATATATACACATATAAGACAATCTGCAAGAAACGGCGTTTGAGAGGAGATGTGCTCTCTTGAAGGGATCGCGGAGGTTAGGTTAGGTTAAGTTGGGTTTGGTTTGGTTAGGTTGGGTTTGGTTGGTTGGTTAGGTTAGGTTAGGTTAGGTTAGGTTAGGTGATCGCGGAGGGGGCATAACGGCTAAGTGGCGCCCGATTGGTCGGTTCGAGGAGCTTCAAAAGGTCTTACGCCCAATCGTTTCCTCCCACACGAACAGAGTTAAGTCTGCCCGTGGATTGGGGGGGTGGGTAGGGGGGGGAAGGCTCGTTTTTTGGTAAGGACTTCCCCGTGATAAGCACAATGGCTTTGATGTCGCCGTGTCGCGCGGTCGTGTCGTGTCGTGTCGCATATAAATAATATACCGCTGTTGTTATTGTAATTATTATTTTCTATATTGTCATTGCTAACCGCGTTGGCGATGGTTTTTTGGCCTTTTCCAGCAGCAGCAGCAGCCAAACACCAACACCGTCCATACGGAAACGGCCAAGATGGCCAAGACGAACGGCCAAGACGGCGTCGTCGACGTTCACCGCCGCCGCAGCCGGACCGCCGTCATCGTCTTGCTGTGACCACCGCCACGGCCAAAAGCATGACACACCCAACACCGAGGATGGTGCCTGGGAAACCCGAATACTTTTTCTTCTCCGCCGCCGTCTTCTTGTACGTGTGCAGTCTGATGAACGTGACGTCGGGTAAGTCCCGTGGTTTTTTTTTTTTACTATTATTGCATAATACCTACAACAACAACAACAACAACAATAATAATACATTTGGGTCACCTGTAATAATGAATAGCTGCGGCTCGTCCTCTCTATATTGCATTTTTTTTACTGCAAGTCTTATAGAAAACAATAGCGATTTTCCCAAAAAAAAAAAAAACAACCTCTTGGAAAACAGTGAGGTGGCACGTCCGGTTTTTTTTATTTTGTTATTGTTATTATTATTTTTTATCAGGTAGGACGTATCAGGTATACACACGTCCCCCCCCCCTTCGTCTTGCCCCTATCGTGTATACGGTCAGCTGCACTTCTTAGCTGCCGGGCACACCGCCTAACGTCTTTAAGACATTTAGTTTATGTTATTTTATAATACTAGAGAATATATTATTTAAAAAAGCTCTATCAACTTTTCAAACTTCAGCCGTAACGTACATAATTAATATTAACTTTTTTAAATAAAAATAATTTGCTTTAATTACTTGTAAAGTTATTAAAACTTTGGACGAGAAGTGGAATACATTTTTTTCTCTTAATTTACAATCTATACAAAATATGTAGCAAGTCTGATGACAAAGACACAGTGACAATAATGTAATAATAGGAAGGCTCTCGCAGCAGTGCTACCTGACCAGAATAATGTGGAATACATAAAAAATAATATCACACTCCTTCACTCTTAATTTTAAACTTTAAAAAATAATAATTAAAAAACTAGTTATCGACCAGTCAAAATTGTCGGCGAAATTAGTTTAAGTTTTAAAAGTCGTTAGAGCTCTGGAACATACTAAAAAAAAAAAGATAAATACTTGGTAATTTAATAATATTGTAAATTATTAAGTATGTAAACCTATTTATAATTGATCAATTTTGTTCATATTTTGAGTAATTTATCGAAAATTCTGCTGTGACATAAAATCTGAACAACCCTGTAATATATCTATGTATCCAGATAAAAAATTTATCGTTATTCGAACATTACTATCGTATTAGGTATATGCACTAACAAATTCCAATCTGATATGAAAGTTCAAACCCAAAAAAGCTCCATCCCTCTTCCGGTCCTATGTTCTTAAAATCTTAATAGTAATTACCCAAAACTTGTTGTCGACCAGTTAAAAAATATTCGGAAAATATTCCATCTGGTATTTAAAAAAAACACTATATTGCCAAAAATTATAGTTTGGGCTAGAAATAAAAAAAATCAACTTTAAATACATGCAGCAGTTAACGTTTACATGTTAAAAAAATTCATAATATTCTTAATATATAATTATAAAGTGTTACTAATAGGAAAAACTAGGGAATCGTCATCGTTTCAATAGAAAACGAATGGCCTATTCTTAATGGATCACCCTGTATGTGTGCTTAAGTCGATTTTTTTTGCATTTTTTATGGGACAGTACTAAGATGAACAGACCGGTCTGTAACACGGAAACGCTGTGGAACAATAATATTAGTTTACATTAGTTAATTATATATTTTATTTCTGTATGGTTTTGTATTGAAAAATCGAGTGTTGGTGAACAAGTTAAGTATAATAGGTCAAGTTTTTTGCATTAAGCCGTTCGCAGGCAATCATTTTTTGGAACATTCCTATAAGATTAATCTGAAACTTTTATGGCGTGGGACATTTATAGTGTAGTCCTTTAATTGATTGTATGCAAAATACAATATGTCAGCTGATCAGCCGAAATAGTCGGCGGAAATCACTTAAATAATATTGTAATGATTACAATAGTAAGCGTCGGGTTGACTTTTAAGAAGTAAAATTCAAAAAAAAAAAAAAAAGAAGAAGAAACCTATAAAAACGACGGCGCGCAATTGTTGTCTACATTTTTTCCTTTCACATTTGGCTCCACGTCGCAATAAGGACTATATATAAATGACTATAATATTATACAAATGAGGATTATTATTTTTTTCCTCCCCGTAAGGTCCCCAGCTGCCGTTAGGACATAAAAAATACCCCTCAGGGCTTGTACACAGTACAGAGAACTTGGTGGAAGAAGAGGAAGAGCTGCATGTGGAGCTGCACTAAAGAATGTCTTACACACAATGCGCGCGGATATGGGCCCAAGAAGAAGGGCAAAACTAGGATAACAATGCATTCGGTGCCGACCTCTTCACTACAAGAGAGTGTGATAGGTGTGGAAAAAAAAACCTATTACAAAATCACGCACATGTTTTTCTTGTACGGATATACCTAGTAAACTATATTATTATGTACAACAGCGGTCATACGACCGTCTTCAATTTTAAGCCACATCTATCTCTTAAAAAATGGACAGCTATCTATCGATAATTATTATCGAGTACCGTGTGTAGACGGAATAGGCTAAATTTTATTTAAAAAAAAAAAACTATTCTGCATAGTTAACGGCTCCGTTGGTAGCTATTTCCAAAAAACACTTCTGAACAACAATTTTTGATGCGCGACACTACTTTGGACGCGGTCCAGATGTTATTACTATTTTTTACACCTATCTACTTAAGACAAGTTCTTGGAAGAGTTTTTTTTCGAAATAACTATAGATTTGTAAACGATATACGTACTCTGTGTGTTTTTGTGTACTTAGGGTCTGTGCGGTATATTAATATACTAACAATATATGGAGTGTCTCCAGCTAGAGCAAGTTCCTAGGGAGTCCCTTCTTCGTTGAAATATATCTATATATTTGCATTAAACGCCCAACGTGCCAAGTGTCAACACTCAGTTGTTATTCGCTGAGATCAGGGCTTTGGGTACCTACGTTTATTTTTTTCAGGGAGAGATGAAATATAATATATATATATATATATATATTGACCTTCTTAAAACATGTTCAATGCATTATTCTTGGCATTACTCATACGCGGTATTCTTCTATATAATATTATAATATCGCGGAAACGATATGATGCAATCATACACAATAGTCAATGCACGCGCAAGAGAAGAATATACAATACTTATATTGTACACACTTATTGCCGCAATCCGTGTGTGTGCTTCTTGGAAGTTCACACGGTGGACACACGCTCGTCTTAGACGTGTCATTACGCAATTATTAAGATTTTTCTCGTCTCCCTTGATTTTTTTTTTTTTTTATTATACTTCTAGAAGGATAAAAAAAAAAATGGTAAAATAAAAAAAAACGAACAGTGTGTGCGTGCACTATGCATGTGTGCACTGCACAGGTTTTCAGCACTCTTCCAATAATAATAATAATAATTATGACCTTGCCACAAGGTGCTGCTGCTGTTGATAGCCGTTAACGGTTTTTCTCAGAGCCATATACAATACTAACCGTGACCGACCGTCTTGGAGAGATGACTGTTGTGCTGATTATATTATTATTATTATTATTATTATTCGATTGCAAGTCTCTGAATTCTTTTGACCGATCACTAATCATCATCGTCGCCTCGCCTCGCCTTGGGTGCCCACGCGTTTTGTACTCGCCAGCGGAAACATCACTTATCGAATCACACTAAAAATAAAGAAAATAAAAAATTCTTTAAGATTTCAACAGTGTGTGTGTGTGTGTATGTAACGCTAATGTGATTCACTGCCGTCCACAACGCGACATGCACAAACAGTGCATGGGAAAAGTGCAGTTTTCAATTTTTGCTTCGCCTTAGTAATACCCTCGCCCCCCCCCCCATCGCCCACAAGTGTGATTTAATAAATGTAAATTGACGATTTAACAGACAAAAACGAAAAGGGAGAATTTAATTTAACGAAAAAACGGTTTAGTCTACTCGAATGAGAAATCCCCAAACTTTGGGGCACCAACAAGACATTTCAAAACATTTTAAGGTGCAAAAAAAATTGTTTCAAAAAATTCTAATTTTTTTATTTAAAACAATTTAAATTCCAAAAAAAAATTCTAAAAATTTTTTTTTTGGAATTTAATGTTTTGAAAAAAAGGATTTGTCTTCATTTTAATTCACGCACTTAGCTTAGCTCAAGTAGTTCCTATGTGAAATTTTTTTTTGCGTTTTATTTAAAAAATTCTAAAATTGAAAATAATATAAAAATATTTACAACTTGAAAAGCTCAAAACCGGGAAATGTGATACCTACTTGAAGTTCGAAGTGTGTTGTATAAATAATGTAATTTTTTTTACGTATGATAAATACAACAAATATTCTCAAAACACCTAATCGACTATGCTATTTGGCGTGTAAAACATAAAACCTCCCAAGTTTATGGCATCATAAAATTAAGATTTTATTTTATGGAGTTAAGATTATAAAACTTTTAACGTTTTTTCCTCCTTTTTTTTTTTAATAGTTTCTTAACATCACGGTGTATTTCCAAGTTCTTGTTAAAGAGCAATATATGTGTGTGTGTGTGTGTTTAAATACAGAATATTACAAATATTAAATATATGCATTAATCACAGTAAAAAAAAAAATACATACATTTTAGTTTGATCAGTTAAAACTATGGTTAATAATATAGAACACAATTAATTATTTATAGTGGGAATAACTGAATAAATTCAGTTCAACCGACTAATAATGTTTTGGGGGCAACTATAGTAAAATATGTATTGTGTCCAAATTTCCAAATAGAATATTATGACTATAGATGGTGGTGTGCCGGTTATATAGGCCAGTGTATTTTCTTCTAAGCAGTCTTCGTCAGACCTTGGATGATTTTTTGGACGTGTGTCGTTTCTTTGGTAAAATATGAATAATTATCCGTTGTACACGATATAACCTTTGAGAGAATTGCACTGCCCCACCCCCCTCTCTATTGTCTTTGCTTATAAACCTTAGGCCTTTGCCGGGAAACTTTGTCTTAAATGTTTTCCAACGTCTCCCTGTGTTGAACTGATAAGTTTAATTTTAACAGGGCCATTGCCCCGCCGACACAACATGCTCTCTGTGTGTACTATGTGTCATGCCACATATATGTAAACGCCTACTTAAATTGCATATATTTTATTATGGCGCGTTTCTTAAAGTGGTTGCTCTTCTTGTTG